AAAGCTGGAGGTATCACACTATCCAACTTCAAATTATACTACAGAGCCACAATAATCAAAACAGCATGGTATTGGCAGAAACAAACAGACACACAGACCAATGGAACAGAACTGAGAATGTGGAAATAAAACCACAGGCATACAGGCAAAAAAAAATTGACAAAGGAGCCACAAATACATAATGAAGTAAAGAAAGCCTCTTCAATAAGTGGTGTTGGAAGAATTGGAAAACCACATGCAAAAGAATGAAGCTAGATTGCAGTTTTCTCCCCTTGTAGTATGGAATTTCCTTAGAAAACTAAAAATGGAGCTACCTTTTGACCCAGAAAGTCTGCTGCTGGGATTATACCCTAAGAGCCCTGAAATACTAATCCAAAAGAACCTATGCAACTCATGGTTCATAGGAGCACAATTTACAATAGCCAAGTGCTGGAAGCAACCTAGGCACCCATCAGTAAATGAATGGATCAAAAAACTATGGTACATTTACACAATGGAATTCTATGCAGCAGAGAGAAAGAAAGAGCTCCTACCCTTTGTGACAGCATATGGAACTGGAAAGCATTATGCTAAGTGAAATAAGCCAGGCGATGAAAGACAAATACCACATGATCTCACTTTTAACAGGAACCTAAACAACAAAACAAACAAACAAACAAGCAAAATATAACCAAAGACACTGAAATAGAGAACAGGCTGGCCAGAGGGGAGAGGGGAGGGAATTTCAGGGGAAAAGGGGAAGGGTTTACAGGAATAAGTATAAAGGACACATGGACAAAAACTAAGAGGGGTGGAAACGGGAGGGAGGTGGGGAGGGCTGGGTGGGTGGGCTGAGATGGGAGTAAAAGACAGAAAACTGTACTTGAACAACAATTAAATAGAAAAGAAAAAATAAGTAAAAATAAAAAGAAGAAGATATGGTACATGTATATTATGGAACACTACCCAGCCATAAGAAAAGATGAAATTCTGCCATTTGTGACAATATAGATGGGCCTTGAGAATATTATGCTAAGCAAAATAAATCAATCAGAAAAAGCTAAGAATCATACGCTTTCATTCATATGTGGGATATAAAACTGAAACTCATAGACATGGGCAGACAACAATATGGTAGTTAGCAGAGGGAAGGGGGTGGGGAGTGGGTAGTAACAGGTGAAGGGAGCCAAATACATGGTGAGGGAAAATTGTTTGACTTTGAGTGATAGGTGCACAATGCAGTCAGCAGATCATGTATTATAGAAATGTGCACTTGAAACCTGTATGATCTTATTAACCAATGTCACCTCAATACATTTTTAAAATAATAAATAATATGTGAAGTAAAAAAACCCACGTATATATCTTCAATAATAATGCTTTGAGAAAATCAAGTTTCAGTTAAGGAGTTAGGAATTAAAGAATTTTGCATAGTTTATAGGCACTTTTGAACACTATATTCTGCCAGCACTTTCCCTTCTTATTTTAAATTTCTGTCACTTTCTTTGTGGGTATATATGTTTTGCTTGTGTAATTTAGTTGTCAGCAGCAAACTGTTTTCTGACTTATATGACATACAAATTGAGAAGATTTTTCTAAGGTATCTTGACAATGATTGGAAGATTGAAAGAGGCGATGGAGTGAAGAGGCTATATTTTGATTTGTGAGAAAGAAAATGTCTGAAGGAAACTTAATTGGCTTTTTCTGCACTCTGGGCCCCACCGACCAGGACCACCTTATGGCTATCTGATTAGAGAAAGGTGGCTATCTGATTAGAGAGTGGGCAGAGAGGGAATTGAGTGCAAAAAATCCCTACTGAGTGCCAGATCATCACAAATGAGATATCTACCACTCAGCAGGTAACTGTACAACATCAAAGTATCATAGTAGGGGCCAGATGGCTGATGGGAAAGTAGGGCCCTGAAAGGGCCAAAAGGGACTTTTTTTTTCTTTTTTGGCCAGCTAAGGACATCCATAAATAGATATGAGGATAATGGGATTGTGTTAAAAAATAAAAGTGGCATTGCACAGAAAAATAAAAAGAAGAGCAGCTTTTTCTCTTGTCTCTCTTTCTGAGTTAATGGACTGTGAGTAGTAAATTTCAAAGTAGCCCATAATTCAAGAAAAAAAATGGAGATAATGCCATGAACGATCCATTTACCTAAGAATCTCACAAGACAACATGGTTTCCACAATGAAGGTCCTGAACAAGGTAACCCAAGAAAAATTCTTATGCTCCAGAAATGTGGTGAAACATAAGTGAACATCTCCTGAATTTTCCCACATGAGGAAAATATAAAAATATATTTTTTAAATATATTATTTCCAAATGTTAATTCTATGATAACCCTATGATCAAGTTTCTTTCCCACACCTCAGATACTGCTAAGTAGAGACACCAACAAATAAAACTCTGAATTGTGTATGAATGCTTAATGCTCTGTTGTGGGCATTAAGCATTAAAAAATTTAAATGAAGCAAAAAGAAAACAAGTGATTAGTAATCATGACTTATTTTTTCTTTTGAAATAAGTGGGCTGAGTACAGCAAGTAGAGACTAATTTTATATTTTCAAGGAGAAATGGTATACAAATTCTGGGAAAGTGTGTCTTTTATAAAGAAGAAGAAGGAGAAGGAGGAGGGAAAGGAGGAGAAGGAGAAGAAGAAGAAGAAATCAAAGACTATAGAAAAGATAACAAATACAAGCATGTTGTTGCAGATACTCCACGGTATATGCCTTCACAAAAATGACATAGATCACATTAATAGTGACTGCAACCCATAGCTGAATATTCTATTTTGTACCTGTAGTGCCAGCTTAGGAAAAGAGTTCTGGTTTATTTCTCAAAAGTACTGTGTTATGTTGACATAAAGACTAGTTAACATGTATACAGAGACAGCCATCTGTTCCTCTATACTCATATTTCCCCTTTTCCTTTCAGCAACAGAAGCCCCCAAGTTTTAGCTGGCCACAGCCTATCTAGATGTAGCCTATGTATCCAAGGCTGCCTTGTACCTAAATGTGGCTATGTGACAAAATCTGGACTAATGGTATATGAATGGAAAGGTTGTGTACAGTGTCCAGGTCACCTCCTTAAAGATAAGCTGTTTTCCCAAGTCTTCCTCTTGTGTCCTCCCTGCTGGCTGGGAAATAGTCACTTCTGAAAGTTCTGTGTCAAGATGGCAAAGCCACCGTGCTGTGCCTGGGCCCCACACTCTGAAATGTTGTGAGAGAAAGAAATGAACTTCCTTCTAAGGCATTGTTGTTTGTTTGCTTTGTGTATCTGTGCTTTGTTGTTGTTGATGCTGTTACAAAACCTTTGCCTGTACCATAACTATAATATTAGATTGTCCAATGAATCTGAATGTAGGAAGGCTGAAAGCTCTGACATGGGGCAAGAGTAGGCAAGAAGGAATCAGACAGGAATGGCCCCAGGGTGTGGTGACCCTATTTATTTAACAAGTTATGTCCAGGGACAGAACTCCTGACCAGATTTTCCTCCGATGTCTGCTGATGACCCCTCTACATCCCCCAAGTCATGACTCAAGAGCAACTACGGTATCTCTTTGATTGCTTCATAGATTCAGTGCTTTCTTATTTCCCTAATTTGCTTTGCATATACATCTTTACTATAGTATTTGTAACACTAATTTTCTATTTAAATCATATCTAGCTCTCCTACTAGACTCTTTGAGAGAAAGATTATTCCATTCATTTTTATATCCATGCTGCCTAGCACAGCGCCTGACTTAATCTAACTTCTCAGTAAATGTTGGTTGTATTGATGTTGTTGAATTAATGTTGCCAAATGTAAGTATTTTATTAGTGTTCATGACTTTCCTAAGTTTTCTGTTAACTATATTTAGGTTGTTTTTAAAATGCTAGTGATATCTCTGTGAACAGGAGCTGTGGTAGTGTCAACTAGCTATGACCACAGCTCATGGTGCTTTATTCTTTCTCTTGCCATACACACACATGCACACACAAATTTCACAATGGCCCTCCTCTCCTGAGCATCCATTATAGGACAGTTTAGTATATTTATATTTTGTCTAATTTTTATAATAATTCTGCATGATATGTGGTATATTTTCACTTTACATACAGGAAACTGAGGCTCATAATTGCAATCTTATAGCTAGGATTTAAATATACATATTTGAAAGTTGCTAAGAAAGTAGATCTTAAAAGCTCTCATCATAAGAAAAAAATTCTGAGTTGATATAAGTTAACTAAATTATAGTAATCATTTTGCAATGTATACATCTATAAATCATGTCATATGCCATAAACAAACACAATGTTGTAAGTCAGTTATATCTCAATAAATCTGAGAGGAAATAAATCCACAAATCTCAGATACCAAAGCCCAAATTCTTACTCCACAACCTCACATCCTCTTAAGAGAAAGGAATTGTTATCTCTGGTCAAGTGCAGTGAATATCATCTCTCTCTTCTTCTGCAAATAGACATGCCAATTCTTAATTGGTCAACAAAGAGCAGAATACACAAGACTGGGAAGAAGCAATTAATGACACCTTTAGATTTATCATTATTCCTTTGTTGTGTCATAGCGGTGAACCCCGTGTAGGTGCCCAGAGCTGCATCTGCGTACTCAGGATCTGTTGGCTCCTCTTCTTTCCAGTTGGACTTCATTGTCCTGATGCAGACCTGGAGTCTGTCTTTGGAATACCCTTTCTGCCTCTTTCCTCTGGCTATATACCAAACATGCAATCCTCCTTACAGCTGGGCTCTACTTAGAGAATATTTCTTTAGAACTTCTAGTTTCATAAAACTAGTTTGGATGCCTCCTGGTTAGCTGATGCTGAAGGATCTTTCACATTTGACCTCTTTGTGGGGTAGAAAAACAAAATCTTAGGACAGGTGAGATGGGAGATAAGGGAAGTACACAGGGAATGGAAGAAGATGAGGTCACATAATTTAGCCAATACATAGTGCTTTCCCATAAATATTTATTATTTGTTTCAAACTTTAAAAGTTCTAGAAAAAAGGTCATTTACCAATCAGAAGAGGTGTCTCTCCTTTGTCATTTTTGGTGTTTGGCCATATTCCCTTTTCCAGTAAAGTTCTTACATTTTCCACCAGACCAGCTTTGACTGCCAATGTCAAGGGTGTTTCCCCATCAGAGGTCTTGAACTCCCAGAGTGTCTTATAGGATGCTGAGAGGTGAAAGCATTGTGTAAAGTTAAAAATCTTATTTAAAGGATATCACTAGATCAGAATAATACAATATTATATATATTAGATTGAACAAAGTTGATTGATGGAAAGGCAAAGACTAAAAGGAGATGTGAGTATACCGGTAAATAAGCATGGGCTTGCTAATCAAGTTGACAGCTGAAAAAATACCAACATCTGTGCTTCAAGGTGCTCTTTTGTATTTAAAAAAATGGGTTGTATATTCTCATTTCTTGATAAATTATAAATTAACTTCCCAATCCTTAGTGTTGTTATTTAAATTGCATCTGAAATTGTTTTTGTTTTTTTTTTTTTTTGCCAAATGAAGTCTGTGAATGTGGGAATGAGAATACATTTGAATGACTATATCCTATAAGAATATACTAGGTATACTGTGCTTAATATCATCTTCTATATTTGCCTGTTTGTCTAGCTATCTATTTTCTTTAGCTGGCTAGCCAGCCATGGCTATATATTAGCCATATATATACCATGAAAAATTAAAAACTGACTTCCAAAAGCAAAAAGACTTATATTCAAATCAATTGACTCACGATATATACAAACTCTTATCGCTTTTAGCCAATAACCACATCTTCCTGCCAACCCGTGTCACAATCTTAAAAGAATGCAAAGGGTGAACCCTGAGACTTACAAAATGTAGTGATTTTTGCACCCCATGTTTAAAACATGGGTATAGCCTTTTCCCATTTTTAAATAATCTTGTATTCTGCTTCTTATTTTTGCTCATTATATTCATTGAGGACACTCCCAACTTCTACATTCTTGCTTCAGCTTGGTCAAAGGGGTTTTATGTTCTCTTACCATCCAGAACAATTTCAAGTATTTGTTGAATGGGTTGAACAACAGCTTCATGCAACGGAAACCATCCTTTTTCATCAGCTTCATCTAACGCATATTTATATTTCACATACTCCTGGAGCTCAAGAATGTGGCCTAAAGTAAACACATGGGCTGATAACAAATCTCCGTCTTGGCTTGATGAAATCTCTAACTCACCTCGAGGTAGGCAGTACACTCACTTACCTTGTTTTATGGCCTCTACGAGTTTTCTGTTTTGATCACTTAGTGGTATAAATCTTCCAGAGAAAGAAACATAAGCCATAATTATAAAAGTGATATACTTCAAGGAACAAAAATTTTAATTTTTGCATGTAAAAAATTATATGAGTTCTGCATGTAACTTTAATAATCAAGATTTAGAGGACAGGAACACAACTGATTTCATCCACTTTAAAAATGTAATATCTATGAGTCAGTTACAGAGTGTATTTATGATACATTAGAGTACACATTATGATACATAGACCTAGGAATGTTAGTGAAGAAGATAGATTATAACACTGTCTCTGAAATTAGTTCTAAGCAGCAAAGAAGGAGTAAATAACTGGCACCAGGGGAGCTGGGTTCAGGTTTCGCACTTTGTTATCCTGGGAAGGCCAGTTAGCCTCTTTGAGTCACCACTCAAAGAGGTGGTGCTTCATCTGTAAAGTGTTGAGAGTAAATAGGAAGGCTTCTTTCCATTTTAAACTCTATGCTCAATAAATGTTTGTTGCTTTAAACTTAATAATTGCTAATTAATGGTGGCTCATTTGAGAGCTTATGATCCATCCTGCACGCTACTCTTGATCACCTCATCCACAAGTGGAAACAAGCTCAGCATTTATAGAGCAAACTCCCAGTCATGGCCAACAGGTCATGATTTTAAGCTGCATGGCAATTCTCTGATGTGTGTTTATTCAAAGGAAACATAGTATTTCATAACAAATTGATTTAACTCTATGCAGCAGACACATTTGCTGGCATTCTAGGCCTGTGACTGCCTTCCTGGGAACTCTAAAGTTCTAAAACCTGTTGAAGATAAGGGAAAAATTAAGGAGACCAGAAATTTAAATGTAATATGTCCATTTTTATAAAAGCTCAAAAGAAGTAATTTTATAGCACTAAATCTATTCAAAATCACTACTAAATTTCAGAATACAGGGTTGTAAATATACAATGTAAAGGTAAACTAAAGTTTATTTTAGTCAGAAGGAGAATATGTATTGCTCAAGACAGAAATTTACTTTTGCAGTTTTAGATTCTATAACCCCAGCTAACATAAAACATCAATTTTATGTATAATTAGTTAACTTCTGTCACTTGAAAAATAGATAATGAAATAGGCTTTAGTTTATATAGTACTTTGTCATATATTATAGAAGCCCTTAGCCCTTTTCCCGTTCACTGAACATATGGGCTAAGTAGGTTAGCATTACCCCCATATATTAAAGATGCAAAAATGGAATACATTACTTACAAAGGTTGCCTGAGTCAGTAACAGAATGTGGTCTAGAATATACAGAACAGACCTTGGTACACATACCTATACATTAGTTGTATAACTGTACTTGTAAGTTGTTTAAATTTATTATCCTTTTCATTCCATTAATTTAGAAAATAGGCAATTATGTGCAATTGAATTTAACTAGAAATTTCCCCTCTGGGTTATTTCCATCTTCTGCCTGAGTTGAGGATTTGTGGAAGATCAGACTGCTAAACCTACCACAATGGCCCTTGTAAAGCTGTTAGATTCTCTGTCAGAAAAGAAGAGTGAGCATTTTCCTGGAAGGAGGAGTCAGGAAATATCATTTATTTCATCTTACAACAAAATGACTGTTACAAAGAAATTTTGTTGAGAATAGTCAATTTGTTACCTTTCACGATAAAATTCAGTGTTGCTGTCTTCAATGGATTCTTGAATACTGAGCTGAATGTCATAACTTGTAAGATGATCTTCATCAGGGTCATCATTAGTATCCATGACTAAATATAATTTTGAAAAAAGCAATTTCTTATTATGGGCAAATGGCACAGAACACCATATGGAGTTAATGTGAAAGATGCAAAATGAAAAACTAAAATGCATTCACCTTTTTCCATTTAACAAACACAAATGCAATTAAGATTTTAATCAATATTATATATATGAAACCCATTCTAATGCTTGAAGGTTTTAATTATCCACCCTTTGGGTGTCTGTATTTTCTAATTTTGACTTTTCTTTTCAGTAATGTCTACAGTTGGGCTTCTAAGAATTCACTTTCTCCACATTTCTGACTTACAAGACTTTCAGCCCATCAGTTTCTTCAAGACACTGTTCTCCACAGCACATTAGAAGTTTAAAACTCCAATCAAGAAGTAAGACAGTGGCAGGAATAGAGAACAGTGAACTTTTCGTACTCGTTACTTTTCATTTTGTGTTTGCTCTGCTTGCTGATTTGCTGATTAATTCCTTTGTTCACACCAGCAGTGGTTTGAGGTGACTGCCTTGAATTGCATTTAGTTTTGTATTTGTGTTCAACTTCTTCAAACAGACTACATTTTTCGTATTTGCTTTGCAAGTTCTTCACATATTTGTTTTGTATTTTCACTTGGACTACTAGTTTTATAAGTAAAAACAAACTTTCTTTTTCCTTTATGTCTAATCTCTCTACTCCACTCCTAGTCAACGATAGCAGATGGCTGCTCTCAGGAGTCACTAGAAAAAATATGTTGACTCATTAGTAGCAGAAAAGAACTGAGTCCTTCAGACAGCAGAATTAGATGATGAAGCTAAACCTATGGTATTGCCTGTTGCCTTTCTCTCTAATATCACTGTGGTGATAGGGGATTGCATGGCTCTGGGATTAGTAATGGGATACAGAGCCTTTCACCTATTTAAATCACTGGCTTAACTCTAAACCTGTTTGAAATTTGGGCTTCCAGGACATGAGATACCACAGACTCCTTAGAGAACCAAGCTGATCTGTGGAAATTTTTTTTTATGTCCTATTAATGACCATCAGAAAGAAGTTATCTAAGACTCTTAACTGCTTTGCATGCCTAATGACAGCAGGGTGGAAATGATGAGGAAACTCCTACTGCACAAAACAACCCCCACCAGACACAAGCTGTTTCCAAGCTTTTATTGACAGTGTGGGATGAAGTGAAGATCTGTGTGCAGGTGCACTAAGGTGTCAGACAATCAAAGGCACATCATTAGAATAGATCTAGAGACATTGAGATGCAATGACAAGGGCAAGAAGAGAGTTATCTATCTGCACCTTAAACTTAAAATGACTGGACTCAATCCCAGTTGAAGGTTGGCAACAGTCTATTGCCAGCCAGCCTTTATTTAAAATCGCCTTTAAGTAAGATAGATACCGACCAAGTATCTGAAGAAAGGCTGAATAACATTTTGACACATTGAGGACCTATTACAAGTGCCTCACCTCTCAGTCTAGAAAAATTAGTTGACCCTTTCTAAATAATAATTTGCCAATGTTGTTCTGGAGAAACCCACTAGTGACATTTATTTGTTCTCCATAAATAGCTAATTTACAAAATAATCAGGACAATTATATTAGATAGTTAGTCATTTCAGTCAAAGTACTGGTTAACCTTGGCCCTGGCCAGGTTGCTCAGTTGGTTAGAGGGTCATCCTGGTATGCCAAGGTTGTGGGTTTGATCCCTGGTCAGGACAGATACAAGCAGCAACCAATGAGTGCATAAATAAGTGGAACAACAAATCAAAGTCTCTTTTTCTCTCTATCCCCTCTCTTTAAAAAACAAATCAGGCTCTGGCTGGAGTAGCTCAGTGGATTGAGCGCGGGCTGCAAACCAAAGTGTTGCAGGTTCGATTCCCAGTCAGGGCACATGCCTGAGTTGCAGGCCATGGCCCCCAGCAACCGCACATTAATGTTTCTCTTTCTCTCTCTCCTTCTCCCTCCCTTCCCTCTCTAAAAATAAATAAATAAAATCTTTTTTAAAAAAATCAATAAGTAAACTAAAAAAAAAGCAGACTTCCAGCCAAGATGGAGGCATAGGTAGATATATTTTGCCTCCTCGCACAACCAAAATAAAGACAACCACAAAGTTAAAAACAAAAATTAACCAGAAGTGTCGTAAAATCAAACTCTATGGAAGTCTGATAACCAAGAAGTTAAAGAGGAAACATTTATCCAGACCAATAGGAGGGGCAGAGATGAGCAGCTGGGGCAGAGAGGACTCATGGCAAGGTGGTGGATGGAGGATCAAGGTGGGCAAGGCTGTGGCTGGTGAACCAGGTGAGGTCAAAGCTGGCAGAGCAGGATGTTGACCATTTGCATGCGGATAAACCAGGAGGATCAACTGGGGAGCCAGACAGACCACCCAATGCAGGGTCCCAGCACAGGGAAATAAAGCCTCAAAACCCCTGACTTAAAAATCTGTGGGGGTTGAGGCAGCAGGAGAAACTCCCAGCCTCACAGGAGAGTTTATTGGAGAGACCCACAGGGTCCTAGAATGTACATAAAACCACCCACCCAGGAATCAGCAGCAGAAGGGCCCAATTTATTTATGGATAGTATGGGAGATAACTGAAAGCACCCAAGAGCTGAGCAAGCGGCACTGTTCCCTCTAAGACCCTTCCCCTACATTCAGCTCCATAGTGCAGTGACGTGGGCTATCCTGCCATGATGAATACCTAAGGCTCTGCCCCTCACTACTACATAACAGATGCACTGAGACAAAAAAATATGGACCAAGTGAAAGAACAGATCAAAGTTCCAGAAAAAATACAACTAAGTGATGAAGAGTTAACTAACGTATCAGATGCAGAGTTCAAAACACTGGTAATCAGGTTGATCACAGAAATGGTGGCGCATGGTCGCAAAACAGAGGAAAAAGTGAAGGCTATAAAAGATGAAATAAAGGGAACCAATGTGAAGAGAAGGAAACCAGGGCTCAGATCAATGGTTTTGAGCAGAAGGAAGAAATAAATATTCAACCAGAACAGAATGAAGAAAAAAGAACTAAAAAAAATGAGGAGAGGCTTAGTAATCTCTGGGACAATTTTAAACTTTCCAACATCAGAATCATAGGGGTGCCAGAAGAAGAAGAGGAAGAGTAAGAAATTGAAAGCTTACTTGAAAACATAATGAAGGAGAACTTCCTTAATCTGGCAAAGAAAATAGACTTCCAGGAAATCCCAGAAGCTCAGAGAGTCCCAAAGAATTTGGATCCAAGGAGGCACACACCAAGGCACATCATAATTATATTAACCAAGGTTAAAGAGAAGGAGAGAATCTTGAAAGCAGCAAGGGATAAGGAGACAGTCACCTACAAAGTAGTTCCCATAAGACTGTCAACTGATATCTCAAAAGAAATCTTGCAGGCAAGAAGGGGCTTGAAAGAAGTATTCCAAGTCATGAAAGGCAAGGACCTACATCCAAGATCACTCTACCCAGCAAAGCCATCATTTAGAATGAAGGGGCAGATAAAGTGCTTCCCAGATAAGGTCAAGTTAAAGGAGTTCATAGGAGTTCATCACCAAGCCCTTACTAAATGAAATGTTAAAGGGACTTACCTAAAAACAAGAAGATCAAAAATATGAACAGTAAAATAACAACAAACTCACAACTATCAACAATCAAACCTAAAACAAACAAACAAACAAACAAACAAAAACAAACTAAGCAAACAACTAGAATAGGAACAGATTCACAGAAATAGAGATCACATGGAGGGTTATCAGTGGAGAGGGGGAAGGGGGATGGAGGAGAATGAAGGGAAAGGTACAGGGAATAAAAAGCATAAATGGTAGGTACAAAATAGACAGGGGAAGTTAAGAATAGTGTGGGAAATGGAGAAGCCAAAGAACTTCTATATATGACCCATAGACATGAACAAAGGCAGAGGAATAATGGTTGGAGGGGAGGTACAAAGTGGAGGGAAATAAAGGGGAGAAAAAAATGGGACAACTGTAATAGCATAATCAATAAAATGTATTTTAAATGATAAAAGCAATGGTTAACCTTGTTTAGGTTCAGGAGCCCACTTGATGAAAGCAAAGGATTCTCTCTCCAGAGAAATGCATGCCCACACAAAATTTTGCATAAAACTTTAGAGTTGTATCCTCTGAGGCCTTATGTATCCCAGGAAAAGAACCATTAAGTTAAGAATTCTCAAATGCTAAATGTTATTATTGCATTATCAACAATTATTAGTTTACAGATGGGCTGAGTAAAATCCTAGGTTTAGATAATGGGAAAAGGGAAAGTTTGGTGAGCACGTAAATTTTAGATTATCTTCGGTAATAATAAGAATGGTGATTATAAAATAGTCATAAATTTCTGAGCGACTATGACATTTCTAGCACCATGCAAAGCACTTTGCAATCACTGCCTTGCTTTAAAATCCTCCATTCTACTTTTAGGTTGTGAACGAAAAGAAGGTCACATATTAAACCTGACAGCTCAGAGGAAGCCTACATGAAGGTCTTGCAAACTCAGAGACCTACAGTAACCACACAGGATGGTCTGAAATGAAAACTTCGTAACTAAAAGTGAGTCATGGCAGGTAGTCATGTACTAGGCCAGTATTCTTCCCTAACAGAGGTCAATCTTCTACATTCACTGAGCCTGTCTATTGTCTTTTCTGCATCTACAATAACATACTTTTGAAATGTCACGTAATTTCTTTTTCCAGACCCCTTAGGGCACAAACACTGCACCAAAGCAGAGACCACCAATCCCTTCACTATTGCTGTTGGCATGTTAGTGTTATTTGTTGACTGTTAACTGTCTTGTACCCACCTATGTAAAGAAGTATGTGTTGCCCCGGCTGGTGTAGCTTAGTGGATTAAGCACAGGCTGTGAACCAAAGGGTCACCAGTTCGATACCCAGTTAGGGCACGTGCCTGGGTTGCAGGCCAGGTCCCCGGTATGGGGTGCATGAAAAGCAACCACACATTGATATTTCTCTCTTCCTCTCTGTCTAAAAAGGAATAAAAAAATATCTTTTTTCTTTAAAGAAGTATGTGTCTATTCCTTTCATTTTTATCCAGTCCCAGAGATTTCCCTGCTTTGCTTGTTCCTGCCTCCCTAACCTATCACCAGTGGATTTCTCGTTACCCCCTTACATCTTGCGCTTTGATTCTGATGTATAAAATGTGTGATAATGCTGCCATTTTCTGGAGCATTTTATCAATCCATTGATATTTTGCTTCCTGGCAATTGTCATCCGTTTGGCTCAATACACTCACAAAAATTTTTACAGGTCTGGACATTCCTTACATTGACAATGTATTATAGATTCATTGTGTATAAGTGAAAACTTGGGGTTCAGGAGGTTAAAAACCCCCTCGCTGTCACAGAACTAACTAGTAAGTAGAGTCTGGACAGAACACGGGTGACTCTGTTCCTAAGGTCTTTTCTAAGCTGCAGAAGAACAACCCACAGTCTGTTGTCCTTAAAAGAAAACTCTCTGATCTTGCACTTAACAGCCAGCTCTTAATGACAATGACTTCCAAAAATAAAAAATAAAAAATCGCTTTCAGGAACACATAAGTCTTTACCTTTGGTTCCATGAGACAAGGCTTTGTGTTGCTTAGGATGGTCTGAGGTGCCCTAAACTTCCCTTCATTCTGCACTTTTGTTTTGGAGCCTATTCATTACTGTCTAAAAAAATAGGATCAACATGCCAGTTGGTGCCTGACTCAAGTGCTCAGGAGGTTGGGATGATGTTGCAAAGTACAATGCAGGAGTGAACCTGGGTACATGTCACCTCTCTGCATTGACTCTCTAAACTACCTCCAATCCATGATCCCTGATAATACATACCAAACTGTTGATAGGTTGTCAGGCCTCTCAGAGCTGCCCCTGAAACAGGACTGACCAAGGTCCTCCTTTTCCCTGAACTGGGGCAAATATACTTTGTTCCTATGAATTGTCTAGTTGGCTGACATCCAGTGACATCCAAATCTGTTAAGCCCACTCACCCTCACACTCTTGTCTTGGGCAAAACAAAACTGAAACCACCTCCATGGGTCCTAAACAAGGCTGCAAGGAAGGGCTTTGTGTCCATAAATGTCACCCTGCCCCCAGCACCTGTCCCACCAGTGCAATCCTGTTACATCAGTGAGAATTTCTGTCCTTTAGAGCGTATTGTTCCATCTTCCCATATCCCTTTTTTAAAAAAGTGTATTTTATTAATTATGCTATTACAGTTGTCCCATTTTTTCCTCCTGTTTATTCCCCTCCATGCTGCACCCCCTCTCACCAGCATTCCCTGCCTTAGTTCCTGTGCATGGGTTGTACATATAAGTTCTGTGGCTTCTCCATTTCCTATACTAATCTTAACCTCCCCTTATGCCATTAGCACCAAGCACCCAGTGTGGAATCAGCATCTGTTGGAATCGCTACATGGGGCAGGGATGATGGCAGAGGGTCTAAGACTGAGTCTAGTGGAAGATGATAAGAAAGGATAAGAGAAGAGCAATATAGTAAAATTTGGTTCTGTTCTCAATTTTATACAAGGGCAGCCCATATCCAAACCCTGAGGAAATTTTCAATTTTCTTTTACCTTGAAACGGTGATGGTTCTTGAGTGAGTCCCTTTGTTGGGAGTCCCAGAGAGGGTCATCAGGATCTGTCCTATGAGAGGAACAGCAATAATCACCAGGCACTTTCATTTTTTGGTTTTGTTAAGGAAATAGTTCTATACAAAACAATGTGTATTCTCATTTTCTGCATTTTGACCATTCATATGTGTAAGCTTATAACTTTGGTTTTTATTTGGTGGCTACACACTTTTGCTTTCTCAGAATCTTGTAATGCAAAGTGGCAAATCAGATAAATGGCTTCATTAGGCTGATTTCAGCAACAGAGTCAACAAGTCCCCCAGAGACGTGGAAGAGAGGCACAACTCTGTCAGAACTGGGTTCCACCCCACAGACACAGGTCACTTTTATTTACAAGTCATAAGTTACAGTAACTCCCTCTTCATGGTATTTGCATTTGTTCCTCCCCACAACCCCAGGTGAAATATTTTTTGTAGTTTTCAATTACAGTTTACATTCAACATTACTTTGTCTTAGTTTCGAGTGTACAGATTAGTGGTTAGATAATCATGTACTTTACAAAGTGCTCTCCCTGATATTTCAAATGCCCACCTAGCACCATATATAGTTATTGTAATATTATTGATTATATTCCTCATGCTGTACTTTACACCCTTGTGACTGTTTTGTAACTACCAGTTTGTACTTCTTAATCCTTTCCCCTTTTCCACCCAGCCCCTCAAGTACACCTCTAGCAACCATCAGTGTAAAGAACAAAATAAACAAATATAGAAAATGGAAACAAACTCATAGACACAGAGAACAGACAGATTGTATTTGCCTTTTCTATTAGAGAGAAATTCTGTGGATAACAGAGAGAACTAGACCAGTTCAAACAGCATCTTTAACAGAGTCACTTGCTCTGCTAACACACACACACACACACACACACACACACACAATCTTAGTCCAGAAAATTAATGCTTTTATATTGCCTCAAAGTGATACAACTCAACATTTTACAAAAGATATAAACATGTAAAATGGACATATTGGTCTCCAGACACCAACTAGGATATCCAGTATGTGATAGGAAGTCACTAAGTATTTGCTGAATGAATGAATAATTGGATGAATAAATGAATGAATGAATATATACTACTGTGAAAATTAGCAAAAGAATAGATTAACCTTGTGTTTTCTTTCTATGTCTACATATGTTTTGGCCAAGTTCATTTATAATTTTGGGACTGCATTAATTAAGGCTTAATTTTTATGTTAATATGCTACTGATAAAAACTGTCTCACTAGTTTTGCTTATATCTAGTTTCATATTACCAAATTAGACATTTTTAGTCTCTGCTATTGATTTCCAAGTCAAATTCAGTTATGACAGAGATGTAGGAAGATGCATACTATCTCTTGAAAAAGACATACGGAAAGAAAAGGAGTTTTCACAAGTATGTGGATTTCTTGAGGAATGTAAATGTAGAATAGAAAAGAATACAGCAAGGATGGCCCATGAAGAGGCAAATTGTTAATAAATGTGCCCTTATCACAAGCTAGGTGATAATGTAATTTTTAAGAAGCCATACCCTTTGTCTGTAATTCTAAATCTAAGAGTCTTATAAAATAATCAGAGATATGGAAAGAAATTTGTTTGTGAAAATATTCATCTCAGCCATATTTAAACTGACAATGCATTAGAAACAATATAAAATGTCCAGCGAGAGGGAATTTGATTAAGACATTACTACATACTGAGACAATAGAAAACTATAATAGTTATTAAAATTCACATCCTTGAAGAATATTTAATGTCATGGATAAAGCTTTGTGTAAGAGAATGATGTTCATGTAATCAAGCTTTGAAGGAACTAAGATTGACTTCATGGAGCCAAAGCTTACAAAACCTTCCAGAAAACTGGCCTCACATCATCCCACTAAGTGAAAGGTTGCTGGTTTGATTCCCAGTCAGGGCCCATGCCTGGGTTGCTGGCCTGCCTGGTTGGGGCATGTGTGAGAGGCAACCAATTGATTCACAACCAATCAATGTTTCTCTCACACATCGATATTTCTCTTCTTTTCTTTCTCCTCTCTTCCCCTTTCTCTAAAAATAAATAAATACAATCTTTAAAAAATAATAATGACAAATATAGAACAGAAATTGGCGAAGGACAGAGGCTTTCAGGTTAATATTGATCTAGTATTTAGCATCCTTCAAGAAAATGTTTATCCAGCTTCAAATCCTCCCCAAAACATGAGCACCCAGTATTGTCTCCTTTTCAATATCAAGACCATGTCCAACAGATACTGGCAAAAACCTTGTTGAAATACAGATGCAGAATATCTATATTCCCTTTCTCTACTAAATCAAAAGTACAAAGGGTTGACTCAGCAGTCCTCAGTGATTATCATTTTTTTTCCTAAGGATTTTCATAACGTCCTACCTGCTCATGCAAAAGTAGGTATACCATACCTGCTATGTTCCACTCACTGTGTTAGACACAAGACAAAGGGATCCGTGCCCTCAGGGACTTTGCTGCCTTTAAATAAAGCATTCGAGACTTTTCCCAGAAACATCCTTAATCTCTCCATTCCTCTTCCTTCCAAGTTTTTGCAGAATCAAGCACACAGCAGGGCATTAATAATCATTATAAAAAACATCTATTGAGAGTTTACCTGTGACATGCATTATGCTAAATATATTAGATTATGTTATTTACTTTCTACAACATCACTTCCCCCCAATTTACAGAGGAGAAAACTGAGTGAGCACAGAGTGGTTAGGTAATTTGTGTAAACCCAGTTGTTTGACATGAGCGCCACACAGGTTTACTGCTACAGTGCACCCTGGTGACTCAGCCACTCTCATGGAATTCATGAAAGAGGGTCTCGTTTTATAATCTTAATATTCATAAGCCTCAGAAAAGTTTTCTAAAAGGGTTGAGCAAACAACCAAAAACCCATCAAACAACCCCAGTAGAAATATAAATATTTTAGGTAAATTTTCATTTGAGGTATTCCCATAAAAACAACAGAAGTTTAATATTACATTTTATGACAAAAATGTTCTCAGCACAAAGCAGTGTTAGAACTTCCTGTCCATATCACTGCTATTTCACAGAAATCATTTTACTTTAGATGTGCAGTCTTTCTTAGAAGTTATCTGTTTATTTGAGAACCAGATGGGTGATGGTATCAGATACATTCTAAGGACTTTCCAGCCTTGACATTTTATGATTTAATTTGCAAAAGCAGATTTCCACTTCTACTGAGTTCCTTTTCTTCTACTGATTTAAGAGACTTTAAAGGAATTTTTATCTGAATATAAAGCAGCCATCTTTTGCTATGTGATGAAAAAGCTTTGATAGAGATTTATTTTAATTATTCATGAAAAGTCATTAACTCTTTTTCAGAAACCAGGGCTAGATAATAGATGAGACCCTTCTGGGATTCCATACTGTGTGTACTGACACTTCCTATAAGCCTATTTATTCTTGATCTGTTTTTCTCTTGATACTATTTTTTATTATGATCAATAATTATATAATTGAGTTAATAGTCTATAAACAAAAACAAACCAAAAAAAAATCCTCTGGCTTTATTTTGTAATTTACAAGGCCCTAGATCGGCAAACCCACAGATGGTCAATTGGAAAGATAGTAATGAGAAGCTACCACAAAACGTATTTCCATCAGTTTAAAATATTCTTAATACTAAACTACTTAATAAGCTACTTGGTGAGGTACAGATCAAATATTTCATAATCTCACCTTTTGGAATGATCGTCTTGCCATTCTCATTCAGGGCCTGGCCTTCCTAAACCAGAGGAAGTGCCCAGGAGCCAATGTGTTCCTTTGTGTATCTAAAATTAAGTTCCCAGTTGGTGGTTAAATTAAGATCTGACCTTGTACAACTGAAACATAAGTGGTTCCTGGCACACAGTAAAGTATTACCCATGACTTCTCCAGACTCTCATCAAAAGAAACACAAACCCACAGAGGTATAATAAGATTAGCTGTGTCCTGATTGGTTCAAAGAGCTCTCAGAAAACAAATGATCTGCCAACCCAGCTGCACTGAGGGTTCCTGCTGAAGGAACAAAGCATGACCATGTAGATGGAATTAAACCATATTTTTAAATTAGTTGTTCAAGAGACATTAGATCTATGAGTCTGTGTACCTGCAGATCCAAATCCACTCTTCATCAATTTTAACACACACTATTTCTCATTCTTTATCTTTTAGACTTAGGTTGAATCTCATTAAGTACAATCTTATTGTCATACAAATTTACTCTCTTTCCTCTGATTTGCGTGTAATAGCTGCTGATCTGATAAACAGGTAAGACAGCGGCATCTAATCTGATCGAGAATCTTTAGGGCGCCTTATAGCACGTGCATAGCCTAAAAACAGTGACTGGCAGATGTGAAACAGCATAAAATCAGGATTTAAATTGGGGAGAATTGTTTTCTATAAAAAAAACAGTAAAGTTCAGCATCTTAACTGATTTTCTAGTGAAAATAATCTGTCTTAAATATGTTTCGACATGGTAATCCTCCGATTAACTCAGGCTGCTATCAGCATTCGCAAAGCTGGCTGGCTTCTGTCCCCACCACTCCGCTGAAACAACTCTCCTTACGGGTCTCAGTGACCTCCTAGTGTCTCCAGTGGATCGACACTTTTCATTTGGTATTTTTCAGGCCCTGTCTTAGATTCACCGCCATTGATTCCTTTCTTTTTCCTGAAGCTTTCTACCCCTAGGCTTAGAAGAGCACTCATTGTATGCTTTGTTTTTGGCTTAAGTTATTTATTTTATTTTATTTTTTTTGATCTTTGGATTCCAGATGTAAGTTAAATCATATGTTTTTATCTTTATTGTATTTTTTACATTACATTTTAGTCTCTTTACACCTCCCTCTCCCCAGCACTCACCACACTGTTCTTCTTATATCTCTGACCCACTCTTTTTACTTGGTGTTAATAAATAAATGTATGGATTGTAGTAAATTTACCAGTTTTATTTCAAAAATTGGGAAACCTTAATCAGAAGACCTAACTCTTCTTTGTGATAAAAGAGGTTGTATTTCAGTCCTCCTTGGATCATACCTCAAATATTTTGTATTTATGCCACTATTGAGTCAAGGTTGAAGATTAGAAGATTGTGTACACTTTATAATTATTAATCTAATTTGGAATTTTTCTTTTTTTCTTTTTTTTCTTACTTTTTTATTTTAATCATTGTTCAAGTACAGTTTTCTCCCTTTCACTCCCAATCCGATAAAGAATTTTTACAAAAGCAACCAGCATTGTGAAATTCTTTAATTTTTACACAAGACTTTTGAAAAATTACAACATTAAATATTCACGTGAAGGTTTTGAGTATAGTGCAATTTATGGGAAAATCTATACCCAAAGTTTTGAAATGTGGTTTGGGACATTTCAGGGACATTTCTGCTCTTATATTAATCAATGTATGCCTTTTTTATCCACTTACATAATAATCATTATACATATACTTATAAAATATTTAAAATAATAAGACAAAACAAAGGCTGTGCGCTAAATAAATGAAAATATGTTACTGATGACACAGACACATGAGCGAGCCTCGTCTTCCCATTTCCTATCTCTCTCACCTGAGATTTGTTGTTCAAGCTCTCTGAGTGATAGCAACAGTAATAATAATAATAATAATAATAATGAAAGTAACAGTAACACAATGACCATGGCACCCACCATTTTTATGAAGTCTATTCCTCAAGTAGTTTAATCATCTATACACAATAAAGCATGCTGTGAGTAATTCAAATATTTAAAAGAATATCTGCTCATAATGCTAATAATCACTCCCACATCTGCCTGTTTGGGAAGTTGGCTTTTCCTACTGGCTTTCTCAAAATGAAAAAAAATGTATATCAGATTTTTGAGCACTGTGCTCCCTTGGTACCCTCTGGTGAGAGTAAGTCTCAGGGAGGCGTGTGACCGAGCAGCGAAGGACTATGGAATACAACTGTTGTCCTGAGGAAGGTGCATATAATGACACTGACATCCAAAGTGTTGCTTCTATCTCTATATAGTAAGAAATGCATGTCCTGTTTCAAGGTGATAATTATAGCAATGCACGTGAGGAATCTTGGGTTGAAATGACTGGAATGCAGTATTAGAGGCACTATCCTTGGAACCACTCATTTTGATTTTGGGAACAAGACACAGGTAGCATTGTACCTGAACTTCCAGGGCGTAATGAGTCACTCTGGCCTGCATGGTTTAAGGCACGTGCCGCTACTGCACACGTCACTTGCCCACAGGTACTCTGTGTTGCTGAAAACGTGTGGGGCTTGCAGGCCTTTGGCTGCAAATACAAATACAGCTCTTGCTATGAGCTACAGCTACTACCACCCCACCACAAAACAGTTTACCACATTCCTCTGTGATCCAGCCCATTCTTTATTAAAGCCTAATCTTTGCCTTCTGGGAACAATGGTGTTGTTCTGATACCTTGAAGAATCCTGCTTTGTTCTGTCCTGAGAGTTGTGTACGCAATACCCATCTATGTCTACCTCACTTGGTTTCATCTTTAATACATCTCAGATTTTTTCTTCCTTCCTTCCTTTCTGCACTTGCTCATTATTTTGGCATTAGGGATTGTGATAAAAATTGCACGTTTTATTTCAGTTGTCTATAAAACAGAGTAGAAAAATGTGAGTAAAGAGAAGGAATCCATTATTTCTAGTATGCCTCCCAGTACTTTGATATTGTTTACTTTTGCTGTGCTTTTCAGTTTTCTTTTTCTCCCCAGACTGAAAGCTACACAACTGAAACTGAGTCACATCCATCAGCACTGCACTCCATCGGGATCACAGGTGCGATAGGCCCCTGGAAGAACCTTTTTCACGTCACACTGTTGACATCACTCTGGCCATTTGTTTCCTCACAGCACAGAGGCAGGTGACAGGAGGGTGGTTTTTGGTAAGGTAGCGCCATGGACAGCACATTGAACCAGCGATGAGCATAGAGTTGGGGGGATTCTGTGCTGGCAGCTACGTGACCCACTTTACCACCAGTGTCTGGGAACGTGCTTGCCATGCGGAAAGCACACATCAAATATGTGCTGAGTATTTTGCTAAACACTGGTTCATATTGGTTAGTAGTTGTTTCTCATTTAATCTAACCGGAGGTGAACTCAGTTAAAGCTGAATCACAGTGAATTTTAAGAAAGGTTAACTTTTCTTTTTTCTTTTTTGGAACAAAGCTTTTAATTATCACTACTTGCAGAGATATTTCAAGTGCCTCTCAGAAAAAAAGGACCCTGGCTTAAAACAAGAAGGCAGAGAATCTGTATTTTAGTTTCAGATCTCTTCACATCTTTGTGAATTAAAGCAAATCATTTACATGTCTGTATCTCAGCTTCTGTGAAATAATGTGCTCTCCTTACTTCACATTGCTATGAGAATAAAAGAAGCATAATTATGAAAATTTCTTGAAAAAAAATAATCCCTATACAGACACAGCACTTAATAATAATAATAATACCATACTTCTGGGACATAAAGTGGATACTAAATTAACTGTCCTATGTGGTTGTCTTTCCTATGCATGCAGACATGTTAGCATACACAGAATGTGATGCTAGACCATTTCAAGGAGTATGTGCCAAGTTGGGTGGGACATGCAGTTCTGGTCCTTAAGAAGTTTACCATTGTGTACAGAACAAATAAGTAGAAAGGAGGCCAGAAATTGGTAAGACAGATAAAGACATAAGTAGGCTATGGAGAAAAGAGTCACAGATCACACACACACACACTCACATATACACAAGTTTGAAAAAGAAAATGGTTTTACATTCATGGATCAAAGTACTTTAAAAATCTTTTTCTTCTAGTCTGTTATCTATCCCAAATTGATATTGCAAAGGCAAGGAGACTTTAGCTATTTTTAATGTCTTGTGTAATATAAATTAAACACAATCATAATAATGACTGCATGATAGAACTAGCAAGCAAAGTAAAATTTGAATTCTTTAAAATTCAGTATTTTTTTTCTAAAAAGAATTGATCTTTTTATGTACACCCACTATTTTAATTTTTAGAACTTGCTAATGCATGACATTCCATCAACTAATATTCAACTTTGAAATAGCGTTTTAACATGAAATGTTATAGAAAAAATTATATAATTTGATGAAGAAAACTTACTATGCTAAAACTGAAAATTTTCAGTGTAAATCCAACTTTTTCACCATGAAAAGATCCTGCTCCTGCCTGTATTCAGATCATTATTTTTAACATTTCTAATTTGACCCACCATTTTGTTTATGTTAAAACAATTTCATTATAAAAAGTAAGCTTAGTCATTTTTTCAGTAAGCTAGAAAAATGTGATTTCTTCTAGTGTCCCTTCCTGCTGGACTCAGATTTGCCTCTGACAAGTAGTGTCAGAATTAGGACAAAATACTCTGGATTTTGCAGAATGTTATTTCTACTGAATATTTGGCTTAGCTGTTTATTTGGATCTATTATATAATTACCACACAAATAAGGCAAATTTTCACATTTCCTCCATGTTTGCTGTAATATCAAAAGTATTAATAGCACATTGAATTTTGAGATTTTTAAGGTGTTTTTTAAAGATTTTATTTATTTATTTTTAGAGAGAGGGGGAGAGGGAGAAAGAGAGGAAGAGAAACTTCAATGTGTAGTTGCCTCTTGCTCACCACCTGCTGGGGACCTGGCCCACAACTGAGGCATGTGCCCCAACTGGGAATCTAACTGGGGACCTTTTCATTCACAGGCTGGTGCTCAATCCATTGAGCCACACTGGCCAGGGCTCCATAAGGTGTTTTTATGCCCCTTGGT